CCGAATATGTTCAGAGGGGAAACCGCGACCTGGATGACCCACAGAAGGTCACCATTTTCCTGAGCACGGTCCCCGAGCAGCTCGAGGACCACCTGAAGCCCCGCAACCCAGACAAGGATGTGGTCTGCCAAAGGAGAATGGCGGTACTGGCAAACCTCCAGAGCCCAAGGAGCCCAGGGCTGGAACCAAGGGCACCAAGGGCAGGCAAGGGCAAAGGAAAGGCCCACTCCTTTGAAGGTGAAGGAGAAGAAGAACAAGAGGCCAGAAGGCGAGGGTCAAGACGGAGAACAGGCTGGCGATGGAGACCTCGGCTTCCTGTGTGTGCTGGGACCGAGTGCTGACTCAGCACCTGTCGACCTGCCTTCGGCCCGGTCTCCTGGACATGGTCCCAACCTTGGAAGGTTGCACTCGCTGAGTGCCAAGTTAGGATCAAGGACGGCGCGCCCAATTACTGGTGCCCCTAGTTTGAGGCCTGCAGGGCAACTATGTGAGACCGGCTATGCCCAGCGTGGTTGGCCAGTACACATAGTTGGGGCAGAGCCTACGTGGATCTACCTTCCTGAAGAGCCAGACTACTCCAAACACGTGGAGGCCAAAGAACCTGAAAGCTCCTCAGGTGACGACCCCGAAGGTGAAGAAAGTGAGAAGAGACTGCAGAGGCTGAAGAAGCAGACGAGGAGGAGCAGCACAGCCGCCGGCTGAAGAGAGCTCAGAAAGAGGCCGCAGCAAGGATTCTAGGAAGGGCGCCCCTGCAAAGGTGGAGCCCGAGGGGAGCGTGACCTCACACAGGTACGGCTCCTCAAAGAAGCGGTCCTCTTCTACCTCCCCTTCAGCCAGAAAACGGAAGGAGCCCCTGCGTGCAGCAACACCGGCGCCCACGCGCAGCCCGAAGCCGCTCTACTTGCCACCGCACGGCCGGGCCCGTGGCAGTTTGAGGCCTCCTGAGCCTGAGCAGCCGCCTCAGGAACGTAGGGGACGCTCGCCCTCCCCTTTGCAAAGACGCCCCGCTGAGAAGGAGGCCCCTACTGCAAAGTACGTTCCTCCACACCGAAGGACCAACAAAGGAGCCGGAGCCCGCACCGTAGGACCGAAGCTAAGGAAGCCACGAAGTCGGAACCCTCAACAGGAGGTACGTACCGCCGCGCAAGAGAGCCAGGCAGGAGGTGCCAGCGTCGTCTTCGGCGCGGGACCCGGCCTACGGCGTCACAAACGCGGCTCGGTCCGTCCTTTTTGGGCGAGATGCTCCAGTCTCGTGTGAGCAGGCGCGAAGACCTGCACTTTGGTACACAAACTGGCGCTCGCTGCACCTTGAGTAGGTTTTATGGCTCACTGCCACGCACCCCCGGCTGGGATGGGTGGGCTCCAAACATGGAACCATGATGGACCATGATGGCTGCAGAACAGGCCATCTTCTGATCTGCCCATGTACAAAAGCCACGGTTATGGCCTAACCTACCACTTTGGTACACAAACGATGCAGCACTTGGCCTCTTTTTCATGGCGCTCGCTGCACCTTGAGTAGGTTTTATGGCTCACTGCCACGCACCCCCGCAAAACTGCACACACAAACTATGTGTAATGAACCCGCTGCTCCACTTTAGCCATCTTAGACGCAGTCTCCTTCAGGGCGATCTCCCCGTCATGGAGGTAGCGCTGAACGGCCGAAGAGCTCCACCTGCCGGTTCTCTTCACAAGCTCGATCTCACCGGTGGATTGGAAAAGCGCTGAAGCGCCCCCAATGCGGAGCGAATGCGACATAAAGTGCTCCGAAGGCAATCCACATGCCTTCGCCGCCTTCTGGAGCACATTCTGAACTTGTTCACGTTTCAGGACCTGGCCGTTGTTTGTGTACCTGAACAGCGGCTGCAAGGCTTCGCTTCCAGTTTGGAACCTTTGGAAACCATCGCTTGGAGATGGAGCAAAGCGGAGACCACGCACAGGTCCTCGACACCCGACAAGTACATAGTCTTGCAACTGCCGAAGGCCTCCTGATCGGTTTTAGTCTTCCTGAACTGAAGCGTCACCCCGATCACATTCTTGCCCTCCGCATCCAGGACGAACTTGATGTCACAACCGCGGGTGATCATAAAGTCCACGCCGCCTGAGTTGCAATACTCCTTGGCACGAAGCATGAAGAACCAAGCGGTGGTCAGGGCCGCGTAGAGCATGGCGCAGTCGAGCCCGGCACCTCCGTCACTGCGGTCGTCATGCAGAAAACCTTTAATCCACTTGAGCATCTCCGGCGTCACTCCAAGCCTACGCGCTTTCTTTGGGGACCGTTTCTCCAGCGCACTCAACAGCATCCACAGCCGCCACATGCGCTCGGTGGGGTCACCCTTGCCGAACCTCTTGTGCCCATCCTTGATGGCAAACACGGCCTGCTTCAAGGTAGCAGCTGAGCTCCCCAACCAACCAAGGTACCCAAGGAACCCCAGCAGCTTCTCCTCGTTGTCCTCCGCGGGAAAGGCCTTGTCGAGGAACTCCGTGTGCCACCCTTGTCGTTTTGCCCACGCACGCCACTTCCCGTAGACGCCGGCGTACTGCTTCGTGGTGCTGTCGGCGAGGTACCCACAAAGGTTCTCCTCGATCCACTCCTCCACGAGAACGCCAATGCCCCCACTGAAAGGCTGACGCGGCGCAACCTGGTCTGTCATGGCGGCGTTGCCCAAAGCCTCGTCCACGGTGGTTCGCTCGCCGCCGCGTTTGGCCTTACGCCCTCCAGCTCGTCCGTCGCCATCCTCGTCCTCGCTATCGGAGCCGGCCTCGCCGTTTCTGCGACCGCCAGCCACTCCTCGATCACCCGAAGCTGCCACATAGCCAGCCGTCAGGACAAGAGCCATTGCAGTCTCACCTCCAGTGCCCTTGCCGCCCTCAACCAGGATCTCCCCGTCACTCACCCCCGACTCCTTCAAGGACTCGAAGCTCTCCTGGGACCGGCCTTGACATCGCCACACTTCTGAAGGACTAAGTTGCCGTATCGCACCACAAGGACCGAGGATCGTGAACAAAGGAGACCTCCACCTCCGGCTTTCCCTCAACCTTCAACGGCCAAAGTAAAGGACCGCTCGTACTTGCCAGGTTCTTGCGACCATCATGAAGCCAAAAATGCCCCTTGATGATGGGCAACAAAGGTGCTCGTGGGATGCCAGGATCGACGACCAACTTGATCGGGTACTTCCAGAGGAGCTCGGAGACGTTCTTTGATGCATCCAGCTTCGCGCCCGTTGGTGGCGCCAACGTTCCCCTATAGACGTGGTCTGTGTCAAAGGATCCTGGGCCAACTCACACATAGATGCCACCAAGCAAACCCTTCGGCGGGCCGCCGCTTCTCCAAACTCGGTGGTCACGAACTCGCCCACATGCACGTTCCAGCCCGCCTGCGTGAAAGAGGTCGCCGTCGCCTCCCACAGAACACAACGAGGGCCTTCAAACACAACCAAGCGAGCCTCGCCGTTGAGCACCGTGTTTGTAGCCACCGCAGCCACCTTGCCGTGTTGGTCGGGCGGAAAGGATGCCATCACAATTTCATTGCTGCCCACTGGGCCCTTCCAAGCCGCCCTGCGTGCCTTACACCCAGCGGCCTCAGCAGCCACCACAAAGTCACACACACGCCTCTCTTGCCCACAAAGCTCGACAAAGTCCAGCTTGTCCCACGACGGCCTGCCCCATGCTGGGACTTGACGACGTAGCCGGCGCTCCTTAAGGCGCATCATCTCGCACCTGTCGCCATCGCCCCACGCCAGAAGACAGGGTCCAAACTGCTCCGAATCCTTCACCGCCTGGGCCAACTCGGGAACGACGTCGACCACATGCCACTTGCGCCTGGCGACGAGCTCGGCAAACTCTTGATCAGTGCAGCGCGTCAGGAGATCAGCATGCGCATTATGATAGGTGCGCCACCACGCTGGGAGGATGGTGCAGCGGAACCTCATTTCGACCATGTTCAAGGTCCGCGCCAGAAGGCGTCCAATGGCCGTCCCACTCTTTCGAGTCTCGATCCAGGCCCTCACCACCTGATTGTCGCCCCCGTACAACACCACCTTGCCACGCCATTGGTCGCCAACCTTGCAGGCAAAGGCCAGGAAGGATAACATCTCGGCAATCTGGATGGCCACCTCCGAATCGTCTCCACACTGCTGCACCCACTTCGCGGCCTGGCCCGCCTTCATGCGCATGACCAGCCCATTCGTCCAGTCGATAGCGGCAATCATTGTCTTTGTCGCATCCGAGGAAACGAAGACCGCCCCATTCTGCCATTCGCCGGGTAGAGCAAGCCGTTCGCGTACCGGAAGAAGTTCGCGCATCCCGCCGCCAAAAGTGCTTGGCCAAGTCTCGGGCCTTGCGCACAACCACCGCGTTGCCTCGAAGAGCTCCCACAGGTCCTGCCATGCCCTCTCGACCTCCTCGGCGTCCTCCTCGTTGTCCACCTTGGGTCGCGCCCGAGCACTCCCATCTCTCTCCATACAAAGGAAGCGGTCGGCCGCCTTCAGTTCGTTGCGGAGGCCGTTCACGATCGCGGTCCATCCGGTCGTAATGCCTCGAAACTTCTGGATCGCGCGAACGGTGATGTCCTTGTTGCCGTAGTCAAACTGGCTGTCGGCTAGCAAGTTTGCCCCCTTGAGGATCCGTCGTTCTGGAAGGTGGATCTCCTCGGTGATGGTGTCCATGTCCAGGCCCCACACGCACTGATACGTCCTGAAGAGGCCCTCAGCCAGGTCCTTTTCGGCGTTGACCGCCTCATCGCCGAGCATCATGCGAACACCTCGTTCGTAAATTTCTGCTGCCACCCAGGGCCGCAAACCCACATAGGGCTCCACCAACACGTTGTCATCCGCCAGGATCTTGCTGTCAAAGGCCCAGGACATGTCCCTCCGCGGTGCTGCTGGAGAATGTGCCCTGAGGAACTCCTCACACGGTCCATTCCCCAGGCGACCCCGAGAAACCGAACGAACTGACCAAGTAGATCACCGTCAGCTCCTTGCCCTCCTTGATGGCCTCCTCGCACTCGTCGCCCTCCTCCACGGAATGTCACCCGCAAACAGCTCAACGTCCCTCGGATCGACCCACAAGCCGGAACGCGCCTGAAATGTCCTTCTTGGACATGACCACCTCCAAGCCGGGAGCGTTGCGCTTGTTCCAAAGAATCATCCTGGCAACCTTCGCATGCTTTGGCTGAACAGCCGGCGGGTGCAGCTCCTTGTCGGTCATCACGTTGACGCCCCTTTGGTCGTGCGCAATCCTCTTGTCAGGGGCAATCGAACGATCGGGCATCATCTTGTCCACCGCCTCGAAGGGGCTGCTGATGACGCCCCCCAGGAACTCATGGGATGCGTCGACCACAAGGACTCTGTGCTTGCGCGCATCCTTCCAGATTTGCTTGTAGAGCTGGTCACATTGCGCTTGGCATTGGGATGAAGCTTTGCCTTCCTGCGTTCGCGGGGGCCCACGCACCGTGCAGCCACCGAACATCACGAAGATATGCCAGCAGGTCTGGGTGCAAAATCGTGTCCAAGTACTCATCCTCCACGCCCTTCAGGTTGTTGAGGCCTTCCTGCTCCCTTGCTGCCCACAAGCTCTCTGCAGCGGCCCTGACCGACCCCGCCTCGCTCAGCAAGCTATCGCCTTTCAACTTGATGTTGCCCCACATGGTCGCATTCTCGAACCGCGGCAACGTAGTCGACTGCTGCTTGCTTCGCCCTCTCAGTCGGGGCCTCATACATGCCCTCCGAGCTGCCTGCGCGCGTACCCTCGCCAGGCAGGGCCCATGCGCAAGTCGCTTGGTGCTCCAGAAAGTTGAGGTAGTAGTCGTCGTCCTCGATTTCGCCCAGCCACCCAGGTTTACCCCCGACACGCCAAGGAGAAAGACCGTTGCGCACCTGAGCATGCGCATCCCACACACCCCCAGCTCGATGATCACGTGCCTCAGCCTGTGCTCCATATCGGCCACCGCCACCTCCCGCGCGATGATCACATGCCTCCTGCCGCACTCCATCTGAACCGGCCCCTGCTGAAACTGGCAGAACCTTTCGCACTCGGCCTGTTGTCTACCCCCGCCTGACACGCGGCCGTCACCCTCGATCTGGGAGTCGCCGATGCCCTGCGTGTTCCTGCCGTTGCCGTGGTGGAAGCCGCATCCATGGGAGTCACCGCCGCCCTGCGTGTTCCTGACGTTGCCGTGCTGAAAGCCGCCTCCATCACTCACGCTGTTGATGCTGCGCTGCTGAGAATTGTGCCCACTGTACGTGCCTTGGACTTGGACATCGCCGTGCTGGTTGTCGTGCTGGTAGTCGCCGTACGCGTAGCCGCCCTGGACATCGCCACGCTGGTTGTCGTGCTGGTAGTCGCCGTTCGCATAGCCGCCCTGGACATCGCCGCGCTGGTTGTTGTGCTGGTAGTCGCCGTTCGCATAGCCGCCCTGCTTGCCATTGTCATCGGTGCCTTGGCCCCTGCAAGCTATGCCGCGCTGCTGGGAGTTGCTGCATTGCTGGGAATTGTATCCACCATACGTGTCTTGGACAGCCTCATGCCAGTTGCCGTGCTGGTAGTTGTTGTCACGGAGGGGGATGCTGCTCGGGACGCCCTGATTTGTACTCACAACCTTGTGCTCGAAACCACACTGTGGCGCAAAACCAGACGCGCCTTGCCCATCCACCTCCTTGGGCCCGCTTGGTGCCAAGACCGTGGAGAGCACCTCCACAATAGTCCTGACGAAGTCCTCCGCGTACGCCGGCCTCCGTACATCGAGTGGCCTTCGCGCCACCGCGAGAACCCTTCAAAGGAACATGCCGGTGAGCCGGGCCAAGACCAGGGCAGCGGCGTGAAAGAGCTGCCGCCAAAGGTGCACATTTCGGGAACACCAACCTTGTCTTGTGGTGGTAGAAGACGTGATCTTCACCAGGAGGACCAAGGCCAAAGGCACACATGGGGAACTCGACGGAGTCCACATCTGGGCGAGCCAGCACCGCCTGCCACTTGGGAAGGTCCCGCATCTTCGGATACCGGGCCGATTTTGCCGTAGATTCCGCCAGAGGGAAACCACCAGTTTCCAAGACCGACAGGAAAAGCTCCGCAGCCGCACCACCCAACGCATTGCCAACCTCCTCAACGGGCTTCAAAGGCAAGCCGCCGGTGCCACCCTGAACGTGCTCAAAGGAACGGGTGCCATTGTTTTGTAACGACCAGTCACAAAAACTGGTACACGGGGCGGCTATCCACCAAACGTTTGCTGGTCCCCCGCGGGCCGCGTACAAGAGCCTCTTTTGCGCGTCGGGGATGGTGAGGTCGAAGGCCTGGCGATAGCCCTGTCGGAGATGAGGATCATCGAAAACCTCCACCGGCTCCATGCATTTGAAGCCCGCTTGCTGCCAGCCACGAGTCATCGCACCTGAACCCGCGAAGACCTCCTGAAAGCAAAGGAAGAGCCCCCGCGCTGGAAGATTCTTGCGGGCAAAGAGGCACCGGCACGAATGCAACCAACAATGGCCGCGGCTGCCAAGTTTGTGTCCTTCCGGGCCGCCATCGTGATTTCGGCCTCCCCGGCCTTGCGGCTGGGGCGACACAAGCGGCAGCAGAGTGTACCTGGACTTGTCTTTTCCTGGTCATGGCGAGAATGCCAAAAGAACAAGAAGCCCAGGGCAGGGGTGTCATTTGCGTGCCAATGAAAAGGAAAGTCTCCACATCCAAGTCGCCGGGTGGCTCGAGCAAGACCATGTGACCCTTCCAAATGAATGTCCAAAGAAGCCACCCACCTTCTTGCCACATTGTGCCCGTGACCATCTCAATGACGACCTCGCCTCGGTAGTCCGCCCGGATCACCACCAAACGGCACTCCTCCAAGTCCTCCACAGGGAAAACAGCATGGGGCCGAAAGTCCTTGTCATGGTTCACGTGCGCAATGTCATGGGCATAGACCCGGATCTCGGCCTCGATAGGAGCCACACGCATCTGAGCCGTACCCATCACAGCCACCGCATCCAGGGCCTGTCGGACCTGCTCCAAACGGATCGCTTGGGCCTTCAAGTCGACTTCCTCCAACGAAGGTTGCCGCGCCCAACTTCTCCAAAGGACCCCCGCCGCAATGGCCTTGGTGACACACTGTCGCTTCTCAATCCCTTCATCCGGTTGCCGAAGCAGGCTCGCCAGCTCGTCCGTCATGTGTATCTCCTCCCGGTAGTCCCACATGGTCCACCGCAGCCCGTCAATGACAACACAACCTTTGCCCGGCCGGCCTGGCGTCCACACTGTCTCGTGCACTTGGAGGTTTCCTGAAGAACCCGCCCGTTGTCCCAAAGCGCCTTCCAGAATCGCAGTGGCCTCCGCCGCTAAGTCGCCCAGGCCGTACGTTGCCATCTCGTCCAGCACCTCCTCAAAGGTGAGGTTGGCATTGCGCGCAAGCCGCGCCGCAGCCCACGCGTAGAGGTCGTCAGAGGCCCGTTTCCAACCTGCTCAGCACAGGGCCCTTCGCCAGCTCGACGGCCTTCCGAACGTAGTCATGTGCCTCTGCCGGGGCCGAAGCGCCGGAAGCATCCTCCACCACCTTCGTGCCGCCATCCCCGTTGACCAACCAAGCCACGTCCGGGCCCTTGATCTTCTCCTTGGAAGTCCTGCTCTGCGCGGGACCTCCCAAATGCGCACGCGCTTATCCCCACCTGCACGTCAACGACTTGATCTTGGCGGCGGTGGTCTCCTTGGTCTCGGCCTTGACTCGCTTTATTCCTCCACGTCGAAGAAGCTGCATCTGCGCACAAGGGTCCAGAGCCTCGAACTTCCCCTGCAAAGCGGCATGCGAGCGTTGACAGGCCTGATTGGCGCACCCCATATGAGTCAAGTTGCCCCAACACAAGAGCACACCATCCTTGTCCAGAGGTGCACGTTCCTTAGCGGTGTTCACCTCCGCCGTTGTCAACTTGGGCCCCCACAGGTTCTTCAGACTAGGGCGGTCGCCATGATCCGGACGGTCTCCCCCTGCGTGTGCTTGACCTTGAGGTTTCGACGCCCTCGATCCCTCCCATGTCAGCCTCCACAACATGCGGGCCTGTCGTCGTTCGATGCGAGGAAGCACCTCCGTCATGAACCAGCCGTTGGGGTTCTTGATGTCAAAGGTGCGAGGAAGTTCCAGCCATGCCTGTCCGGATGCATTGGGCAAGAGGGCATAGAACTTAATGTCGGGGAGGGACATAGTCTCACGATTGGCCTCCCTCTTTAGCTGACGAAGGATCTCCTTCAACTCCTCAAAGAAACGCCAGTGGAGCTCCTCCCAGATCTCGGCCACGACCGTAAGGGGCCACTTGTGTGGCTCTGCCTGATGCCACTCGAGCAACAGGTCCAAAGCATGGGTGCGAACCGGCTTCCATTCAGCCCCACACACCAAAGACCAAACTTCGTTCTGACGACGTGCTCTCGCCTCGAAGTCCTCGATTTTGGTCGGCGGCTGCGGCCTCTGATCGTTGCCCGGCTTGTTGGAACGAAGCTCCTGCGCGAAAGCGTCCAGCTCGGCGTCAGTGTGGGGGGTGAAGTCGGCCACTGTCAAAGCGTACTTGTCTTGAGTGCCCCAGTAAGGGCCTGCCAAGCCAATGGCCAGGCGGTGGGTCACCTTCTGCTTGAATCCAGCGCTGCGAAGCTTTGTGGAGGCACCAACCTGTGCTGAAAGCAGAGCATTCGCCAGGCCTGTCCTTGCTCTCCCGCCCCGACCACAACATGGTACTGATTGCAGGCCCTCAGAAGGAACACCAGCTCTTCAGACTGACGATTCAACCCCTTGACCGTCCCTGCCAGGGCCGCTACGCTATCTTGACCAAAGAGGCAATCTCCACCGTCTGAGACTGGATGCTGGCAATCTCGTCGATCTTGTCCCCCTCACCGGCCGCCCCCGCCTTCCGGTCCTCCTGCCCAAAGATGGCAGGGCTGCCGATCCTGATGGGTGTATTTGTACTCGGTGTCGAGTCTTTGGAAGCTGGCAGACGACCACCGCCGGAACCCTCAACAAGCTCCCAGGACGTAGGTGTGGACAGCCTTGCGGAACTCAAAGCCGGGGACTGAGGGATGGCTGACTTCTGCTGCCACACCCGGATGAACTTGGACAGACCTGGCTGGCCTCGTTCCTGCTCACGCGTCGCCTGCGACCACAGCTCCGCCGTGACCTCCCTGATGTCCTTGCCCCTCTCCGTGGCAAGGTTGGCACGCGCATCCTCCTAAAGTCCCAGCTCACGCCCTTCCGCGTACTGATGGAAAAAGTCCTCCAAAAGCGGCGCCGCTTCCGTCTTCGCGGGCGAGTCCAGGAGGCCCAACCTTGCAAGGTTCTTGGAAATGGTGTTGCGAGGAGTATTCCCAGGAGATTTGCTGTACCCCTTCACTGGCGTAGCGTCGTGGCCTCCATCTCGTATCTCATCCAACACCTTCCGCAAATCACGAAGTCGAACAGGAGGATCGTTTTGTGGGGGAGGAAGCTCAGGTTCTTCCGGATCGTGTCCTTCAGGAGTCGGGACCGTTCTTGCCGGGGAGCGTTTCCTGGGGGATGGGCGCCTCGAATGAACTTTACAAAGACGAACACCGCCTGATTCATCGACCCCAAGACGAGTGCAACCTTGGAACTTGCAACCCTGAACTCGCCTGCGACGCTCGTACTCAAAGGCATGTTTCGGACATAACTGCACCTCCCCGGAGTCCCCCACGAGGTCCTCGGTCAGCAGAGCCACCGCCAAAGCGCCCCCGCCTTTGCACTTGCCCCGGCCAAGCGCCTCGGGCTCGTGCTCTGACTCGGAACCCGAACTCCAGAGGTGGCCTTGGTTTCACGAGCGCCGAAGAGGACCACAGCCAAGTCCACAAGGTTTTGCTCGCCTTGGCCGCTCCAAGTTCCGCATTCTTCAACTGAAAACGTTCAGGATCAAAATCCTGAGCCACGGCGTACTCCTTGAAGTGCTGTCCCTCTTCAGAACACATCAAGCTCCTGCACAGGTGAACCTTGTCGCAGCCCTGACATGAACCCAGGATTTCAGGATCTCCACGCCATGAATCCACTGCAACAGGCACAAATTACCAGCGGTCTTAATGGTTTGACTATCGGCGCCAGCCTTGAAAACGGCTACTCTGCCTTCACGCCTCACCAAGATCCACTTATCGCACGACCCTACCTTCTTGAAGAGTTTCTGGGATTTTGCCTGTGCCCGCTCCTCCAGTGGCTTTCTGGGCCCAGTAAATCAAGGTCCCCAGCTTCCTGACGACGGCCCGTATGAGCCAGGCGCAACCGAAGACAAACGCAGTGCAGAATGAAATCACTGGCCAGCACAGTGCCCACAGGTAATGCGCAGCCAAACAGAAAAGCAACAAAACCAGGATCCTGAAGGCTCTCTGACAGCCTGTGCGAACCCCTGGCCAGGCGTTTCCAAAAAGTGTCCATCCCACAATGCCAACGACGGTGTCAAAAAACAAGCTCAAACCACCATCCCAGGAGTAGCCCCTACGAGTAGGCGTTGCCGGTTCAGTCCAGCTGCTTGTCCACTCGGCCCAGCCTTGGCTGATGCGGGTGAGGTTCGGCGCATGCTCCTCGGCCCATCCTCGGACCTGGGACCACGCAGTTGCACCTTCGGGAGGATCACGGGTCCTGTTTGAGATGTTCTCAGTGGCACTTTGAAAAAGCCAGCCGCCCCCGCGAACAGCCAGACAAAGTATCCATGGAACCCTCAAGAGATATGGCGTCCCTTGCCACTACCTCCAAACATGGAACCATGATGGCTGCAGAACAGGCCATCTTCTGATCTGCCCATGTACAAAAGCCACGGTTATGGCCTAACCTACCAGAAGGCCCTCGACAATATGACAGCGGACGACCCGGCGCGTGAGAACACAGAAACTGAGCTTCAAGAGCTGGGGTCATTAAGAGCCTCAAGGAGGAGCAGACGGCCACGCGACGGGGCACAAAGGTTGGGCACAGCAGCCGACAGGAGCGAGATGGGAGGCCGCCTGGCCTACATCAAGGAGAGGTCCCGCAAGAGCTGAAAAGCACCGTCTGAGCACACAGCAGGAGAGGACGGAGAAGAACCTGCGCACTCAGCTCACCTGGGCACGCCGCTTTGACCAGCCTGGGGCCGGAAAGAAGGAGAAGGTCTTTCCCTTGGCCGAAAAGGAGCTGAAAGACGAGAAGGCAGCTGCGCCTCTCTGAAGCCAAAGCCTGGCTGCTGGGAGACGAGGTCCTTGAGTTGAGGGCCTCGGTCGCCGCGATCTCCCAGCCACTCCTGTCGGTGGGCCAAGTCACCTCCCGAGGGAACAAGGTGATTTTGGGCCCGAAGGTGTGCTACCTTGAGACAACTGCTGGGAAGAAGCGCAGGATCTTCCTCAAGAACGGTGTCTACATCCTTTTTATCTGGACACCAGCAACCGACTTTTCGA